GGGGTTGGGTACTAAGAGGCTGGTCAGGGATGTGACAGTAGGAATAGATGACTGCTCAATAAACTATTATAGGAAACACATTCCCTCTCACCTTGCAGCATTCAAGCCAAAACCAATCGGCCATTTATTAGAATCCCAAAGTGGTGATTTGTAGGTGAGAAGAGGACTAGCGGAAAAGACTGCTAATTAGAAAGAACTGTACTTGAGAATTGGATTCATAAAATGAATGTTTAATGCTTCATCAAGGGCATTCTTAAGTGAAACAGACTTTTTGTTTTGGTGAGTGCCTGGCAGGGCAAAGTACAATGGCGTGAGTACAGTTTGGTGTTGCCGCCTTGACTTGGGCTAAGGGACCAGCAGCAGTTTTCCCACCACTGCCTTTTCCACCGTCAGTGCAAGTGTCAACAGAGTGAAAACGACAAATAATGTCTTACTTTTATTATAAAAACAATCATTTTTTTAAAAAATCCAGCCTGACAACCATTCTCTTAGTCTGTTTACAATTAACGTAATTACTAATACATTTGGACTTAAAAATAACATCTTACTATTTGTTTTCTATTTTATCCAGTGTGTTCTATTTTTCCCCCCCTCACTTCTTCCTTTCTTTTGAAGTAATTGTTCTTTATTCTTTCTTTGCTGCCCACCCCTTTCCCCATTAGCTTGTTAGTTATTATTTTTTTTTTTTACTATTCTTTTAGTGGTTATATAACATGAATTATAACATGAATCCTTGATTAATTAAAATTTTAATGTAAGTAAGTACTTTTACCACTTCATGGATAGTGTGAGGTCTTTGAACACTTTTACTCCATTTACCTTCCTCCTATCTTTACAAAAATTTTTAATTCTGAAAAAACTTTCAGTGAGTTACAATAACAGTACAATAAACTTCATATAAATTCACCAACTTTTGATGTTTCTGTCCCTATCCCTCTCTTACAGTTTTGCTCTTAAGGCCTTGAACTGATTGGATGAGGCCCACCCAGATTCTCAGGATAATCTCTTTCACTTAAAGTCAACTAACTGTAAATCTTAACCATATCTTAAAACCCATATCTTAAAAACACCTCAGTGGGTGTTGTATGGAAACCAATTTGACAATAAATTTCATATATTGAAAAAAGAAAGAAAAAAGAAACAAAATAAAAACACCTCAGTTAGTGTTAAGTTGAATAACTCAGTATTATGGCCAAGCCAGTTTGACACATAAAATTAACCATCACAAGGCGCATCAAGTTTCTTTCTTGCTACAGGTCAGGAAATATAACAGCCATTTATACTTTCCATTGATTCATTCATTCATGCGTTCATTCATACATGCATTAATTCATTTGTTTATTCAAGAACTGTATCTTGAACACCAGACACTGTGTTCTTTTTTTGCCAGACACTGTGATATATGCATGGATACATATTCTAAGATTCTGACAACTGACTTATAAATAATTGTTACAGTATAACCTATTTGTTAGTTGGGATCCTATTGAGTATTTTTAGGACTATTGCCTTATTTCTTTTTGAGTTACTTTATTTTCCTCCAGGCCACAGATAGGAATGTATTCATTTTCATGACTTTCATAAATCTTGCATAGTTCCTTGTCGAGTAAATATAAATATCTCTTATCAAAAACATTTTGAACATTTTGACTAAACCAACTGCCAAAAACAGTAAGAAAGGACCAGCCGCACTGCATAAATGTTTTTCAAGCTGCTTCTTGCATTACATTTGCTAATGTCCCATCATTGTCTGAAGCAAGTCATAAGGCCAGCCCAGGTT